ATCATGCAACTACCCTGTTCTCCCAGTTTTTTGCATTGCTGTTTGCCAAATGGTGATTAAAAAAAAAAAAAAATTCTGTCACTTCTACATATAATGGGTGGCATCTATCCATCTTCTCCCCTCTCTGCTTCTTTTTTCCTATTCTTTGCATTTATCTTTAATTTTTAATCACATCTTTTTTTGTTTATTTTTGGCTTTTTTTTTTTCTTTTTTTGAGACAGGGTCTCACTATGTAGTGCAGGCTGGCCTCGAACTCACAGTGATCCTCCTGCCTCAGCCTCAGCCTCAGAGTGCTGGGGTTACAGACATGCACCACCACACCAGCTATTAATGGTTTTTTTTTTTTTTTTTTTGGATTTTTCTCCGGTACCAGGAACCGAACTCACGACCTTGCGCTTGCCAAGCAGGCGCTTTTGCCGCTGAGCTAAATCCCCAGCCCCCACACCAGCTATTTTTGCCCTTTTTAAAGTAAACTTTAAGAAAGACCTCTCAGCATTCTACATAATTTCTTTTGTACTTCATAAACAGTCAAGCTCAGAACTTCTTTCCCGTAACAATCAAGCTGCCCTTGTTCCTGCTGTAACACAAACTCCTTCCCTCTTCCTTGAGTGCAATTCTTGTCTTCCTGCCATTCTTGCTTTTCATTTTTTTTTTTCTTTTTTTTTCTTTTTTTTGGTCTTTTTGAGACAGGGTCTCGCTCTGCAGTTCAGGCTGGCTTTGAACTCACAACAATCCTCTTGTCTCAGCCTCCCAAGTGCTGGGATTACAGGCATGAGCCACCACACCCAGTGGAGTGGGGGATGGGTTTAAAAATGACTGGGGCTGGGGATTTAGCTCAGTGGCACAGCAGCTACCTGGTAAGTGCGTGGTCGTGAGTTCGATTCTCGGTACTGGAAGAAAGCCAAAAAAAATAAAAAGAAATGACTTTTCAATTTAACTCTGACCTTCATGGGAATGGACTCCTGATTAAAAATATATCCCAGGAGACACTAAGGGGGTTCTGGACATTGATTATCAGCATAAAGACAGTTTGCCTTTGGTGGTCTCAGAACAAGACACTGAGGTAATGAGCTCAATGGCTTCAAGGGAAGTGACCAGTACCCCCAGTCTCAATTTTCTCATCAGTAATAAAGAAAGTATAATAGTAACTCCTGCCACAGCCTCCCCCAGTGCTGGGACTGCAGGCATGTGCCACCATGTCTGGCTGGTTTGTGTATTTTTTTACATGTTTAAATGGAAAACATATATGAAAAGAAACACAAGCCAGGCATGGTGGGATTAACCTGTAATCCCAGCACTCCGGGAGGCTGAGGCAGGAGGATTGTTGTGAGTTCAAGGCCAGCCTGGCCTACAAAGTGAGCTCAAGTTCAGCCTGAACTGCACAGTGAGACCCTGTCTCAAAAAAAAGACAAAAAAGAAAGAAAGAAAGAAAGAAAGAAAAAGAAAAAAAGAAAGAAAGAAAGAAAGAAACACAGGGGCTGAGGGCATAGCTCAGTGGTAGAGCACTTGCCTAGCATGTGTGAGGCTCTGGGTTCAATCCCCAGTGCTACAAAACCAAAAAACCAAAAACACAGCCTGTAATTCTTTAAAACATAAAGCTACTGCCTAGGTTGCACCGAAGCTAGGGTGCCACAGGCGGAAAAGCACACCGGGGCAACAACAAGCCTCTTGGCTGGGACCCAGATCCCACAGGAACGTTCTGGACTCTGGGAACCAAGTGCGTCTGGCTGATAGCTAGTGACAAATGTGTGTGGGACGGTGGGGAAAGGCTGGCTCAGGGCAGACTGCCTCTCAGCTTCTTGTGAAATGGCAGTGCCAACACTCTGACTGTTCACAGTGACTCAGTCAAATTCTCTACGTCCTGGCCATATTTCATTTTCCCCAGTTATGCTGGTAATGACCATTATAGCATTTTCTGGCTCAGATGACACTTTGTATTTAGTTGTCCCGTTTATTAGAACAGTAATGCCCACCTTAGTGTTTTGCTTCCTCTAACACTGATATCTTGGAAGCATCAGGCCCTTTGTCTTGTAGAATATTGGGGTTTTTTTTTTTGTTGGTTTTTTTTTTTTTTTTTGGTACTGGGAATCGAACTCAGGACCTTGCCCTTGCCAGGCAGGCGCTTGTGCCGCTGAGCTATATCCCCAGCTCCTCTTGTAGAATATTGTAAAGACCAAGCAGAGAAAAATATTGGTTTAAACTGCTGTAAAGCCAATGATTATGGACCTGAGTTTTGGGGCTGGATTTTCTGGGCTCAAATTCTCTGTCTTTCTCTACTAACTGTATGCACTTAGCCAAATTATTATAACACTCTGTGCTCTAATCACATCTCTAAAAGGCAAAAAAATAGCGCAAATGTGTACAGAGTGTTCAGGACAATGCCTGCACAACAAATGTGCACAAACTTAATATAGAAGGTTTTTTTTTTTTTTTTGGTGCTGGGAATTGAACTCAGGACCTTCTACTTGCCAGCAGGTGCTGTGCCGCTGAGCTGTATGCCTGGCCCAGAAGTGTCCTTAAAAA